TAAAGAACAACTGAAGGAATTCATGGTCACCAAATCAACATTACAGAGAGTCTTGTGATTATTACAGAGAGAGATAAAGATGACCATGGTTCCAGGAATAGCAGCAGAGGAGGATTGCCAAACAGGACAGGCAATTGGATGAAGGAGAAAAGTGGAGGGCCAACAGCAGGAGGATAGCATGGCAGAGACAAACCAATGCATGTTGGTTGCAACCTTTAATGTAGATGGCCTCAATTCACCAAATAAAAAGAAACACAAGGAGAGTGAATCAAGAAACAAGATCCATCGATATACTGTACACAACAAATACATTTAATTCAAAAGGAATTTCATAGACTAAAAATCAAAGGAGAGAAAACAATTGTTTCATGCAATAGGAGTCCAGAAAAAAAGCAAGGGTAACTTGCCCGTCAGCTGCAGAATGGTTAAGGAAGATATGGTATTTTTATACAATGGAAAGCTACCCAGCTATAAAGTAGGATAATCTCAAAGCTCTTATAGGTAAATGGATGCAACTGGAGATCATGTTCATGAGTGAAATGGCTTGAACTTATATGGGTAAACCCTAGGATAAAAAAACAGAAGGAGTTAGTGGGATCCAAAAAGCACAACAGATATTATGAAAGTGATAGGGGAAGAAACATCTAGCAGGGGAAGGTGACCACTGTTAACTTCTTATTGTCTTGTCTTGAACTCTTATATTGTTTTCATAATTTTGTTAGGTTTGGTTTTGTTCTGTCTTGCTTTGTTAGATTTTACTGTTTCTGATGGTATGGGAAGCTATTTTGAAGATAATGGGATGTATTATGGTGACAATTATCTTGTTTTAAAGTCCTATGATGCTTTCATTCTTTTGTTCAATTGGTTTTATTCTGCTTTGTTTTTATTTTATTATGTGTGATAGTATGAACAGCTATTTTGAAGAAAACAAGACATTATGTAGCCATTGCGGATTTCCTATCATCTTGTTTTGAAGTCCTATAATGTTTTATTCTTATATTTTATTGGTTTTATTTGTTGTATTTTATTTGATTTTATTATGTGAGACATTATAGTAACCATTGTTCATTTCCCGTTATCTTGGTTTGAAATCCTGTAATTGGGGATTGAATTCAGAACTCAGGGACTCCTACATGCTTTGCATGTACTATACCACTAAGCTATACTTCTACCCCATGATATTTCTGAGAGGACAGGTTTCATATTTTCTGTAGCAATGGATTCCAATAAAGTGTTGCTTTATCTGTGAATATCTTAATTTCTATTTCATTTTTGATTAGTTTTGCTAGATATGGAATTCTTAGTTGACAGGTTTTTTTTCTTTTCCTTTCAGCATTCTAAATGTCTTTCTACTGCCTTTGACATCCCTGGTTTCTGATCAGAAGTCAGCATCTTACTGAGTGAGTATTCCTTGTACATAATGGGGATATTTTTTATCTTCTTTCTTTCAAGTTTTTTTCCCTCTGTTTTTGGCTTTGGGAATTTATGATATACCTCATGTGGAGCTCTGTGAGTTGATCCTGCTTGGAGTTTGCTGAGCTTTTTAGTTGTACAGATTAGTATCCTTCATCAAATTTGGGAAGTTTTGGGTCATTACACGTTCAGATACTCTTTCTTCTCTTTCCTTCTGGTATTTCCATTAAGTATGTGGTAGTATGCTTGATATGATCTCATGACTCTCTGAAGCTATGCTTATTTTCCTTCATTCCTTTTTTCTTTCTAGTCCTGAGACTGTCTTCGAGTTTGCTAATTCCTTATTCTGCCTGCTCATATCTGATCTACTTGAGCTCATCTAGTGAATTTTTATTTCAGGTGTTATCTTTTTTACTGCAAAATTTCTATTTGGTGCTTTAAAAAGATAATTCATGTCTTTAATGCTCTGTATTTGGTGAGACACTTTTGTCATACTTTCCTTTAAATTTTATTTTAAAGAGAAAAAAACAAATTTCAAAGCAAGATATAAGAGAGTAACAATGCTTAATACATTGCACATTATTATCTTTAAATTTGTTACTGAGCATACAAGCATGTAATTGTTCAAACAAGTTAGCTTGCCCTTCCCCCTCAGACCCAGGGGCCTCCAGAGGGCGGCCTCTCTGTGCCTGCCCTCCCCCCTCAGACCACAGGCCTCCAGAGGCTGGCCTCTCCGCACCTGCCCTCCCACCTCGGACACCCTCCCCCACCTCCTTGACTTAGTATTGCTGTGGATCTTCAGCTGCCCCTCCTCCTCTTAGAACCTTGGACTGCAGTGGATTAACCTTGGATTGATGGGAGACTCAGTAAACCCTCATCCAAACAGAGGACCTCAGCAGGCTTCCGTCAGTGTGGTGAGTTTGCCCCTAAAATAGAGGCCTTCAGTTGGTAAACAGGAGCAGTGGCGAAGTTCCCTCCAGCTGTAGGACCTTGGAGAGCCTGGCAAGAGTGTGGGAGAGTCCTTCCTCCATACAGAGAACATCAGGTGGGTTGAGGAGTGTGCCAAGAAGGCTTCCCCCAACCTGGAGAAAATTAAAAGGGCTTATGAGACACCCAGTGACAGAGCAGGGTCCCAGCTGAGACAAACACTATAGACAGGGAGATCTGGTGGCCTGGAACAACCTGAAGACATAGTAACAGTGGGAACTAAGGGTTGACTTACATCAATATTCCTAGGCTAGTCAGCCTAGGAAGAATACAGGACTCACCCAACAGGCCCTGCAGGGGGAATTCAGGTGACTGGCCCTCCTCTTCATTGTGGGACCGAGCAATTGGACAAACATCAACCACACAGTAGGACCCTGAGATATGCATTATCAACAGTTGAGACTAGTGGGAAAGACCAAATATTAGCCTGAAAGGTGAAAATGACAAAATCAAAAGACAAAATGCAATCTCAAACATCTAGTTCATTAGGAGCAAGTATAGGAAATATTGAAATAGAGGACTTTAAGTCATACACCTGAAATTTCTGAAAAGATAGCAAGTGAAATAAAGAAACAAATCCATGAGGCCACAGGGAAAATCAAATTAGAAATACTCTCTCATATAACAAAAGAAATGACAGCTTTAATAAAGGAGTTGCTCAGCATAGCTAGAGGAGACATAGATAAAAAAGCACAGGATCATGGGAAACTGATTAGTTGATTTCTTGATGATAGCCATTCTTTCGAGGGTGAAATGGAATATCAGGGTTGTTTTAATTTGCATCTCTCAAATGACCAGTGATATTGAATATTTTTACATATTTATTTGCTGTTTGTATTTCTTCATCTGAGAAGTATGTAATGCATCTCAGATGCCCATTTTTGGATTGGGTCTTTAAATTTGGGAGGTCTAATATTTTTGTGCTCTTTTATGTTCTTTATAGTAATCCTTTTGAGGAACAGCTGGCAAACATTTTTTCCCACATTGTGGGTTGTCTCCTCATTCTGTTGGTGATTTCTCTTGCTGTGCAAAAGCTTTTTGATAAGATGAGATCCCAGTTGTTGATTCTTTGTGATAGGTCCTGTTAGATTAGAGTTTTATTCATAAAGTCTTTGCCTACACCAATGTCTCAAGAGTTTTATCCATTCTATTTTCCAGAAGATTTAATGTTTCTGTTTTAATATTTAGATCTTTGATCTATTTTGAATTTATTTTAGTTCAGGTGAAAGATATGGGTCTAATTTTAACCTTTGTCACTTACAGAGCCAGTTTTTCCTGCACCATTTATTAAAGATGCTATGTTTCTTCCAGTGAATGTGTGTGGCTCCTTTGTCAAAGATAAGTTGGCTTAGTATGTCTGGAGTTGTTTTTGCATCTTCTAATCTGTTCCATTGATCTTCAGATCTATTTTTTTGCAAGTACCATGCTATTTTTTAAAAAATCACAATAGATTACAGTATAATTTCAAGTCAGGGTTTGAGATGTCCCTTGCTTTGCCTTTGTTGCCCAGAATTTCCTTTGCTATTCTAGGTTTCTTCTGATCCCAAATGAATTTTAGGATAGCTTTCTGTAATTCTATGAGATACGCTATTGGGATTTTGATTAGAATTGCATTATATCTGTATAATAGTTTTCAAAGTATGGTCATTTTCACTACATTGATGCTTTCTACCCAACAGCAACAGATTTCTTTCCATTCCCTGCTACCCTCTCTTCAATATCCTTTTTCAGGGTACTATAATTTTCAATGTAGAAGTTTTCTACAACTTTTGTTAGATTGATTCCTATGTATTTCATTTTTTGGGATGCTATTGCAAAAGTGTTGTTTCTATAATTTCTCTCTTGAGTTTGTTATTCATGTATAGGAAGAATATTGATTTTTGAATGTTGACTTTGTATTCAGCTATTCTGCTCCATTTTCTCCTTAAATCTAGCAGGTCTTTTTTTGTTTTGGTTGTTTTGAGACAGGTTCAGGCTGGCCTTGGGCTTGTTTTGTAGCCTCAGCTGGTCTCGCTCGAACTGGCAATGATCTGCCTGTCTCAGCCTCCCGAATGCTGGGATTACAGGAGTGCACCACCATGCTCAGCCAAATCTAGCAGTTTTTTAGTGGAGTTTTTGGAGTCTTCTATGTAGAACATTTTGTCATCTGTAAATAGTGATAATTTAACTTCTTTTCTATCATTATTCCTTTTATTTTTTCCCTCATCTAACTGTTCTGGCCAAAGTTTCCAGGACTATGTTGAATAAGGATGGAGATAGTGGACATCCTTGTCTTGTTTCTGACTTTAGAGTGAAAGCTTTCAGTTCTTGTCCATTTAGTATAATGTTGGTTGTTGGTTTGTCATAGATGGCTTTTATCAGACTGAGATAAAGACCATCTATTACAATCCTTTGTAGGATTTTTATTACGAATGGATGCTAGATTTTGTCAAAAGTTTTTCTGCAGCTATTGAGATGATAATATGGTTTTTGTCCTTGGTTCTGTTAGTAAATTTACTGATTTATGTATGTTGAACCATTCCTGCATCCCTGGGATAAATCCCATTTGGTATAATCTTCTTGATGATTTGCTATATTGTTTGCTAGTATCTTATTGAGGATTTTTGCATCTATGTTCATTAGGGAGATTGGTCTATAATTCTTTTTCTTAGTTGGGTCCTTCTCTGGTTTTGGTATCAGGGTAATACTTGCTTCAAGGAATGAAGTTGGGAATATTGCTTCCCTTTCAATTTCATTAAAGAGTTTGAGAAGTAGTGGTGTTAGGTCTTCCCTAAATTTCTTATAGAAGTCAGGAGTGAATCCACAAGGGCCTGGGCTTTTCTTTGTTGGCAAGTTATAAATTATATCTTCAATTTCATTGACTGATATTGGTTTATTTCAGATTTTTATATCTTCTTGACTCAACTTTGGTAATTCATATGTATCTTGGAATCTGTTCATTTTTTCTACCCTTTCCATCTTATTAGAATACAAGTTTTCAAAGTAGGTACAGATGATCTTCTGGATTTATGCAGGGTCCATTGTGATTTTACCCTTTCATTCCTAATTGTGTGGGTTTGTTTTTTCTTTTTTTTTTTTGATAAGGTTGGATAAGAGTTTGTTGATTGTATTTAATCTTTCAAAGAACAAACTCTTTGATTCACTGATTCATTTTTTTAGACAGGGTCTCACTATGCAGTTCTGGCAGACCTTGAGTTCACTTTGTAGCCTAGGCTGGCTTTGAACTCCCAACAATCCACCTGCCTCAGTCTCCTGAGTGCTGAGATTACAGGACTATGCTACCATTCATTGATTCATTGATTCTTTGTATCATTTTTTTAGTCTCTAGTGTGTAAATTTCTGCTCTGATCTTTATAATTTCCTCCCTCATACCAGTTTTTGGTTTAGCCTGCTTTTCTTTTTCTAGAAGTTTGAGGTTCACCATTAAGTTGTTTATTTGCACTTGCTCTCTTTTCCTGATATGGGTATTTACTTCTGTGAATTTCCCTCTTAGGACTGCTTTCATTGTGTCCATAAGTTCTGGTATATTGTATTGTCACTATTGTTCAACTGTAGAAAACTACATAATTTCTTCTTTAATTTCATCTGTGACTCATTGATCATTCTTGATGGTGTTATTTAATTTTCATATGTTTATAAAGTTCTTATGGTTTCTTTTACCATTTATTTCCAATTTCATTGCACTATGGTCTGATAATATGCACGGGATAATGTCAATTCTTTTGTATTCACTTAAGCATGTTCTATGAGGTAGTGTGTGATCTATTTTGGAGAATGTCCCATGTGCAGTTTAGAAGAATGTATATTCTGATGTTGTGGAGCAGAACACTTTGTAGGTGTCTACTAAGACCATTTGTTCAAAAGTTTAGTTCAGTTCTAATATTTCATTTTTGAATTTTTGTCCAGTCAATCTGTCTTTTTGGGAGTGTGGGGCATTGAGATCCCTCAAAACAATTGTATTAGTGCTTATTTGAGTTTTCATGTCCATTAATATTTGTTTTATATAGTTGGGTGCACTGGTATTTGTTGCATATATATTTATGATTGTTATCTCTTTTTGTTGGATTGTTCCCTTTACAAGGATGTAGTGACCTTCTTTATCTCTCTCTCTCTCTCTCTTTTTTTTTTTGGTCTTTTTCATTTTTATCAGTACCAGAGATCGAACTCACGACTTCCTGCTTGCAAGGCAGGCGCTTATGCCGCTGAGCTAAATCTCCAGCCCCTTCTTTATCTCTCTTAATCAGTCTTGCTTGAAATTCACTCTGTCTGCAAATAGAATAGCTACTCCTGTTTTTATCTGGGTTCCTGTGCATTGAGTATTGTTTCCAGCCTTTGTCTCTCAGTCTATGAATTTATTTTTGAATTAAATGTGCCTCTTGTATGCAAAATATTGTTGGATCTTGCTTCTTGATTTATTTAATCTTTATTACTACTATTCAGTAATGTTAATTGTACAAATTAATGGGTTTTATGGTGATGGTTTCTATACATGGATATATTATACTTTGATTATATCTACCTTTACTACTGCTTTTTCTTGCCTTCCCTCTCTCCCCACTTCCTACCCCCAAGTTTACTTCTCCTTCCCTAATAGTCTGTACTCTATTTTCAGGCCATCTCTTTTTTTCTAAATATCCATGTATGAGAAGAAAGTGTGGAATGCTTCAGTTTTTTTTGTACATATTTAAAAGTATATGGTTTAAAGTCTTGATGTAATAATTCTAATGTTTGGATATTCTCAGAGACAGTTTATATAGATTGATCCCCCCTATGTATTAGTCATACTTTCTTGTTACTTTGCATGTTTTGTAATTTTTATTGAAAACTAGATAATATTTTACATTACATAACGTGGTGAACTGTACAAATAAGGGTTTTTTTTACTGCTTGTAGTGTTCATTTAGTTATTTTTTTGCATTAATTCTGTAGGGTCTGTATTCTTTGTATGTGTGTTCACTAAAATCTCTGCTTGATTAGCTTAATGGCCAGCTAATGATTAGACAGATTTCCTAACTAGTAATCTTTCGTGTGTGTGTGTGTGTGTGTGTGTGTGTGTGTGTGTGTGTGTGTTTTGCTGGGCTGGAACAGAGGGTTTTGTGCATGCTAGGCACACACTCTAATCCCACAGCTGTGTCTCCATCCCTAGTCTTCAAGTCTTTACCAAGATGTTCTGTGCCAGGCAGTTGATTAGTCTGCCTTATCCCTTAGCAAAGCTGGAAAATAAGATAGAGGTGAGAATTTTTAGGCGTTCTTAGGATCTTTCTAACATTTGCACAGCTTTGGGCATGCATACCAACCCATGACCTTCTAAATTCCCAGGAATATGCTGGAGCTTTTCCAATCCTCTATGGCTATTTCATTCCCTAGTGTGGTATATCAACAAATGAGTAACATGTAACACCCAGCTGAAATTAATCCATTTGGTTCTGGGTATAGAATGCCCAACAGCATAAAAGGAGAATTGGAGGGGAAGATCATATGCTGTTGTTGATTACTCTGGAAAAGCTTGTCACACTGGTTTTCCTGATTTGAACTCAGTTTCCTCATCATCGGAGGAGCGTGGGTCCTCACTGTGGCTAAAGATGGCTGTAGTTCTCTTTAGGGGAGCTCTGGTCCTTACCTTAAAGTATCACTTCCTGGCTCCAGTGTAGATCCCTCAGCTGGCTGGCACAGATCCTTCATCCTGTTGGCACAGCCTTTCTAGCTTCCACCACTGACCTTTGGGCCTTCCCAGTGCAGATCCTTGATACAGACATGCATGAGACATTGTCGTGGGTTCTAGGCCTCAAGCTGTACTTGTGCAGGATACTGCCATAGGATCCAGGCCCTCAGCTGAATTCTTTGGGTCTTTAGTGTGTAGCCAGATTTATTGTAGTCTTCTGCATTTGACTTTTAGGGTGAATATTATAAAATTAAATTATAATAAATTATATGTCCTGTATTAAATCCATTCCCTTGGAAACCCTGACTGCAATACCTAGTTTACTTTTAATCTTTTTAGTTTAAGGTTTACACCAGCTATTATCTATTGCACTGGGCAGTTGTGAATTTAATCATTTGCTTCAAATTTTTTAGACAAATGACCTAAGGAAATGCTTTTCACATTGAGTGTGATCTTGAATCAAGTAAAGAAAGCTTTGCAAGTGAGGTCTTTGAAGTAACAATCAGAGAGGCAAAATAATAATTCATTGGGAATGAGGCTTTGAAGGTGCTCCAGAGTTAAATGGTCCCTGTTGGTGGCGACCAGGCTTTTGTTTTTCAGCATGACTGTAGGCTGTTTAGTTTTTACCACTACCATTTCTACTTGTTTTTGCAAATACAGTTTTGTTGGAACAAAACTTGCTCTTGTGCTACAACAATAGAGTTGAGTAGTTGGGACAGTGACAATTTAGTCTGGAAAACCTAAAGTATTTGTGATCTGTTCCTTTATTGAAGAAGTTTCCTGATTCTGCTGTTTAGAAGAAAGATAATGTGAGCCATTAAATTATATCATTTAAAATATTTGGGCAGTCATATTAAAAAAGCAGGTGAAATGAAATTTAAGAATGTTTTATTTAATCATTATGGTAAAATACTATCAATTCAACGATCAATCTAAAATTACTGATAAGATACTTTATACTTTTTTCTTACTAAGTTTTTCAGATCTGTGTATTTTACATTTATACCACATCTTAGTTTGTACTGACCACATCTCAAATGATTAATAAACACAACTGGATAGTGGCTGGTAGACTGAACAGCATAATTCTAATTTCATAATTCTAATTTCATAATTCATAATTTTGCTACTCAAAATATGTTCACTGTACAGCAGCATTATATCACTCAGGAGCTTGCATAAACTCAGGCTCTATCTTGGACTTACTGAATCAGAATTTGTATTTAACAAGTTCTAGGTAGTCAGACGCATATTACACATGTACACTGAGACACACAACCATAAAACAGTTTGCTATTTTATTCCACTTTGGGATAAAGGGCTAGAGTACCCAAGGTATTGTTCTGATGGTTAAGTTGTCTCCCATTCTCTTCCTAAATCATGATTAAGTTTTCTGAACATGGATCAACTAAAGTGACAGTGATCCAGATACTACTGGGCACCATAGAATTGGCTAAGCAGAAAAGGACATGGTTTCTGCTTTTAGGGAACTTATGACTGTCAAAGGATGCCTACAGAATAATTCTCCACACCAGAAATGCAGTCTTCTTCACCAGGAAAACCCTTCAAACAATTTCACCATGTCAAATGTAAATGTATCAACCAAGCACTGGATTGCTCAAGCATGCATTCAGCTCAACAGGTTCATGGGACAGAAACAAAACAGTTTCACTCCATTTGAAATTGGCTCAGAAGCAATTGGTCTGAAGCAAACATTTAAGCTTTAGGACATGAACTCAATGGTTTTTTTTTCCTGAAAGAGTAGCAACTCTGTATTTATATATCAGGAAAGTTATAACATTCATCATGCTCAGATTCAGAAACTGCACTCAAGTCAAGGGATAACTAACAGTCTGATTTCTAGGTTCCAGTGACTTAGAATAGGAATTCCTATTTAAAGCTAAGAAAATAAGAAATGAGGAAGTGCCAGTCCTTGTTTCTCTGTGTAGGTGTTGACAAGCGATTAAATCATTAGAGTGTCCCTTGCCAGAAGCAGCAGAGTAAATCTTGGAAGTTGACAAATGGTCAGCAGCTCTGTATGTGCCTGCACGCTCAGAGGCACACACAAAGGGTGCACTGTTTTCCTTGGTTTATCTCCTGGCTATGTAAATATTTCATCTGACATTTGGATTGCATTATGAGCTAGTTTCCCACCATGCTGATGGTTTTTTAATCTGCTTTCAGCAGCCTACAATAAACTGTCTAACCTGTCTGCACAGTACGGTATACTCTGCCCACTGGCAAACAGAACACATGGAACCAGGAGATCCCTGACACATTCTGCTCAGATGTCTAAAGACAAGGAATGCACGCAAGTTCTGCCCAAGCTAGACACACAAGCTATGAGACACTTGCCTCATCCCATTATACCAGCACCCCTGAGCCCTTCTCAGACTAGACAAGTTCCAGGAGGAGATCACAACATACAACATGGGCTTGCCATTCTATTAAGACAGATTTTTGGCTCAGCCCAGTTGTGCTACTGCCAAAGATGAGGATGGTTGTAATCTTATTCATTCTGGGTGGTATTCATTTTGATTTCTCTTCAGTTTCAGATGAGTTCCTTCAATTATCCTAAATGTAGGAAATATTATGATAACCTAAGCCAGTGATGGTGAAACTTTTAGAACTTTCAGTGATAACAAACAGCCTGCTGTGGCATGCATGCCATGGGTTTTCCACCATTAACCTAGACCAAGAGTTACTACATCAGATAACTCCCATATACTAATAAAAATAAAGGAAGTATTGATATGTGTTACAACATGGATGACTATTGAAAATGTTATGTTAAATGAAAGGGGCCAGTAATAAAAGTCCACATAATGTAGAGTCCCATTCAGGTTAAATGCCCAAAATAGGCACATCTATAGAGATGGAAAGTGAAATAGTTGCTGTTAGGGACTGGGAGTGAAGAGCTCAACTGCTAGTGGCTGTGGGAATTCTTTTAGAGGAGATAGTAATACACTGGAACTGGGTAGGGGTAATGCTTGCACAACTTTGTTAATATACTAAAAACACTGCACTATACACTTTAAATGAGTGAGTTGTATGGCACAAGAAATATATCTTGAGGAAGCTGTTTAAATACAATTAAAGGTCATTAAATGATTCCTTCCCCCTCTCCGATAGAAAAACTACTTATAGATGTCTTCTCAGCTTTGCTAGTCAATATTGTGTTATAGGAAAAAGAAGTGAACGTGAGACATGCAAGCTGGTACTAGGTATGATAGGATCAAAAGAGTCTTTCCAGCCTGCTGGTAAGCCATTCATTCATCCATCCATTCATGGAAAGTTGGTCTAGATACAGGGAAAACAACACAAGGAAACTCCACCCTTTCTATTAGGAGCTTAAAAGAGTAATTTTCTTAACCCTAACCATGGGAACTTTCTGTTGGATACCGGAGTTTAAAAGTTATTAGTTACAGGGACTGGGGCTTTAGCTCAGCGGCATAAGCGCCTGCCTTGCAAGCAGGCAGTCGTGAGTTCGATCCCCGGTACCGATAAAAAGGAAAAAGACAAAAAAAAAAGTTATTAGTTACAATGTCACTGTTATTCACATTCCAATTCTTTTTTAAAAATCAGGAATTCACAGATGATGTACTTCTCTAAATGTTTCAATATAAAGTATAAAGTCTACTGGGTAATATATTAATAGTAAAGCAAAATATTTTTTAAAATTTATTTTGAAAATAAAATCAAATGAGAAAACAAAACAAAAGGGGGTCACTCAAAACAAAAGGATGGACATAGTACATAATTTAAAACCACAATACAAGGTGATCTACAATGATTACCATGTCTCTTGCTATCTTCATTAGAATCGCCCATATCATCAGGTACAATAAAATTGAACATAGCAGTACAGAACAAAATCAATAAAAATAAAACATTGGAGATATTATAAGACTTCAAAAGAGGGTAATAGTCAAAGCAGAATGGATATCATAGTGAATCTTATTGTCTTCAGAGTAGTTGCCTATACTCTCAGACTTGATACTATCAAACATAACAGATTTGAATAAAATCAGACAAGACAAGACTGATTGAACAAAACAGATTCAAATAAAATCAGTCAAAACAAGACAGTGAAAGCAATACAGGGCTTCAGATTATGTTAATAGGAAATTAAAAATTGTTACTGTAGTATATCCTGCTATCTTTGGAATAGCTGTCTATGCCCTCGAATCTAGTACAATAGAATAGAATATAACCAAACTAAACAGAGTGATGAAAGCAATATGCGTTTCAAATCATGATACAAGATTACCAATGTCCTCTGCCTTTCCTATTTAGACAGTTCCTCTCCTTTAGCTTTCCCAGGGTACATTGTAAAACTAATTTCTTTAGTTTTTAGATTAGGGAGGCAACCTGATATTTACCTAAGTAGTTCTGAACCATTTTACCCCTGAGCTTGGTCTCAAGTTGTATTCTTTTCCCTCAAGAGCCTCAAGGTTTTCCTTCCTTATAGCTGAGTAGTGATCCATTGTATAAAAGTGTTATATCTTTCCAATCAATTTGTAGCTGAAGGATGAGCTACCCCCACTTTTTTCTGATTCCCTGTCACACAGAGCATTATTTTCTCATGTTTGACTTTCAGTTCATCAACCTTCTTTCAGGTTAAATATATTTCTTATATAGAGCATCTTGATGGATCCTATCTCCTGATCCACTCTATCTGCATTTCTTTTTATTAGTGTATCAAGGTTATCCATGTTAGCAATTATGGCAAATCTTCTCTGCCTCATCACTGCCATGCTATTTTCCTGCCATTTTCCCCTTCATTCCAGTGTCTACTCTGTTCAGTGAGCCTCCTCTCTCACTGTTCTTGAAACCATGGTCTTTTTTCTCTTTCTCTAGAATGTCCTTCAGTGTTTTTTGTAGGGTTGGATTGGTGGTCATGAACTCCCCCAGTTCTTTTCATCATGGAAGCATCTTGTTTCTCCATTAATTTTGAGACATAGTTTTTCATGGTACATCAATCTGGGTTGGAGGTTATTTTTTTTTTCAGGGCTTGAAATACTTCACTCTGAGTTCTTCTTGATATGATGGTTTGTATTGAAAAGTCTCATGATTCTGATGGATTTTCCTTTACAGGTGATCTGTTTCTTTTCTCTGGCAGCTTTTAATGAATATTTGTTGAATTTCTGGGATCTTGATTATTATATGTCTGGGTATAGATCTATTTTGATTATAGCTGGCTGGAATTCTGTATTCCTCATATATCTGGATAAAATTTCCTTTTCCTATGCTTGGAAGTTTTCTTTAATTATTTCTGTAAATAGCTTTTGTATTTCATTTGTGTTTATCCCTGCTTCTTCACTCACCGTTTTTTATTCTTAAGTTATAGATCTTCTTGTCATCGTCTAGCCTTTGTATTATTACTTCCTGGTTCCTTGTTATTTTTAAGATATCTTTCCTTTCACGATCACACATTGCAAACCTGTCTTCAAGGTTTGATAGTCTATCTTTAGTTTCTTTCAAGCAGTTTTGCCAGCTTTCAATGGAGTTTTTAATTTCCTGGTAGTCTCTTTGAATCTGTTTCATGTATTCTGGATTTTCTTTATATTCTTCACTGAAGCTTTCTCTCCTTTTTCTATGTCCCTCCATTCTTTCATCTATGTCTTCTTTAGTGGTATGTAGCATTTCTTTTATTATTTTTCTTATATCTTCTTTTACTTGTATTAGAATTTCTGTTTTTAGTTCTTTTATAATGTCACAAAGATAATTCTTTATGTCAGATGCTGTTTTTTCAGACACCACAGGTGTGCAACCCCTGGTCTCTTCTGTGTTTACCTCTCTGGGCCAGTAGTGATTGGGTTGGGGGCTGGAGATTTTCTTTTGTTTCTTCCTCATCATGTTTCTGGTATCCTCCAGAGGAGTGGACAATGGGGGTCCCTGGCACTTCTTGTATTGGCTGCAAATACTCTGAAGTGTGCTGGCAAGAAATTGCTGTCCTCCACAGTCTGCTGGTGGTGTACTGAAGTACAAACAGGGGTGTGGCAGGCTGGCCCCTCCCTTCTGAGCTGGTTGACTGCTGGGAGTCTTCACCATGTTGGTGTGGGCCACAAGGATGGGGTCAGTAAGTATAGTTTCAGGGAGACCTTGTCTTTTGCTATTGGATCGTGCACAGAGGTGGGACTCAGTCTGAGCAATTCTCACCAATCTGCTCTGTGGTAGGAGTGGCTGACTGAAGCCACTGCAGTTCTGGTTCTAGCTTTACCCTGCCTGACTCCAAAATGCCACCTGGCTCCCTCACCCATTCTCACTGGAGGACTGATTTCCACGCACTCACTGAGAGCCAGTGCAGATCTCTGAGCCAAGTGCTGCTCTCTCTTCCGCTGCTCCCCTCCACAACTGCTTCCTCCCACTGAGGCCCTCATGCTAGCCAATCCCAACTTCACCATGATTGCCCATCTCCAGATTTGAGCCGTGTTTCATACACAATGGGATTGGCTCCAGTGAGAGCAAGTCTGGATATAGCTTTCCATCTATGATTTTCATTTTTTTTCTATCTTTTTTTTCTTTCCCTTTAGTTTCTTCCTGGGTCGATAGGATCCATCTCCCTCTGTCTGCTCTTTTCCAGGACATTTTATTCTGGTATCTGTGCTGTTTCTCTCAAAGAGGCTCCCTGTTTTGCTGCATACTGATCCGCCATCTTCTAGAATCCCTCTAAAGCAAAATATTTAAAGATGAAGAGAGGAATCAAGCTGCATGTTTTCCCAAGTTTGTTTGAGGGCAAGAATTCTTGACAGAAATAGCTAAAACAGAAGGTGACAGCATGTATCCTGGGGTTTTCTCCTCTGAAAGGAACTGTTTTAGTGAATCTACAGGCTTTATCTTAGTAAAGGTAGACTTTTTGTCTCAGTGGAGATGAGGATCTATATCTGCTGTATTAGCATAGGGCAAAGTGGTTCAAAAAAGCTCAATTTTTCTTTTTTTCCAGGCAGTTTGTTGAACAGAGAAATAATATTTGAGTTTTGGAGTCAGGCAAGATTGGCTTCAAATCTGAGTTTGCACTTTTAATTTAGGCCTTTAGCATCTCATAACAGCTTTGGAGCTGTTCTTTCTATCTCCAGCCATATTCTTGTCCAATTTAACCTTGCTCAGCAACCTGAGCAAACTCAAAAATACAAATTGTATCCTATCATTTTCTTACTGTAAATCCTTAGTGATGCCCCATCTTTGACAGGCAAATACTACTCTAAGCTACTTTAGAGTTATTTTATTTTAAAAAGTTGAGCCAGGTATGGTGGTACATGCCAGTAATCTCAGCTACTCTAGATGCTTGGGCAGGAGAATTACAAGTATAAGGCCAGTCTGGATAATTTAGCAAGACCTCATTCAAAGTAAAATTTAAAAAGAACTGGAGATAATACTCAGAACATTTGCCTAGTATGCCTAAGCCCCTGGGTTCCATACTTAGCACTACCAAAAACAACAACAACAATAAACAAACACACCAAAAATGTTGAATAAGTACTATATTTATACAGTAAAACATTCCAAAGATAAAAAATGATATTTACTAACCAAATAAGTCCGTGCTGTGTCCTAGATACCCTGTTTCCTTTTTGTGACTCTTTGGAGAGGTAAGGAAGAATAAAGGTAGCACTTTAACACAATAGCTTAACATACTCTACATAGTGTCCTGTACTTACCCTCTCTTCATCTCACTGCATTATCTTGGACATTCTTTCACAATGCATTCTACTTGTATCAGTGCTCTACTGGTAAGGGAAGAGCTAGATTGTTTCTGAACTTCAAAAAGTGTACTTCCTAAGACCTCTTTCACTGGTCTTTCAGTACCCCTGCTCACCAGAGGGAAAATACATTTTTTTTTGTTTTCAGTACATCTCAGGTTCATTATTTTCTTTTTCACTAAGAATTTCACTTATTGCTTTACATCTCATTTTTAGAAAACCAAAGAATATTTAAAAGTACAAAGCAAGAAAGATCATATTTCCAATACTGGTGAACCATTTGATGAATACCATCTTAGTATTTTTTTCTATTTACATTAAATATCTACACTTTATAAAAGGTCTACTCTCAAGCTGGAGAGGAAAATATGGGATGAAACAGTAAAAAAAAAAGAACTATTTCAGTCATGTGACGTACCTGAAGGACAATGACCTTGTGAGGCATGTGCTGTTCTCTTATTTTACAGATGAGGAAGCCAAGGCAAAAAGAATCACTCAAAATCTCATAGAATGGGGCATAACACAGCTGGGATTTGAACCCTGATCCCATGTTTTACCTACTGTACTCCACTGGTTCTGCTAGCTCTGCAGTGTTTAGCAAGACTGAGACCCTCTGACGCAGATATTCAGAGCAGGCTGTGCTCCCCAGAAACCCACACATGTGTCCAAAGAGTGAGTGCAGGACTGCTCACTGTGGCGAACTGTGGTGGCAAAAAATTAGGACTAATCTGAACATCCATAAAGATGTGAATGGACAAATAAAACCTAGAATAGTTGTACATGAGATACTACAGAACAGTTAAATGGACTGAACTAGGTTTATATGGGTAGATCTCACAAACAACATTGGATGAAAAAAGCAGGCTGCAAGTGATATGTCAATTTAAAAAAGCAAACCACTCATCTTCCTCTCTCATTTGAAATCATTTTTCTGATTACTTTGAGAAAGGACTAGAAAGATACATATTAAATTCATGATAATGAATAGCTTTTGGCATTGAGGGAAGAATAAGACTGGGATGAAGGTCGTAGGACATTCAATGTATCTATGATACTTTACCTTTTTTTCAGTCAGTACTGGGATTGAGCCCAGGGTTGCTCTACTACTGATCTATATATATCCCAGCTCTATTTTTTATTTTGAGAAGGGTCTTGCTAAGCTGTTCTGGCTGGTCTTAAACTTATGATCCTCCTACTTCAGCCTCCCAGGTAGCTAGGATTAAGGCAAGTACCACTATTCCTGGCTGATAATTTACTTTTTTAAAAAAAATATAGGTAAGATAAAATCTTAACACATTTTATTTCATAATAGTGGGAAAATATGCATTTATGATATTCTCCATTACTATATTGCATTTTAAAAATCAGCAAATATTTATTGAGCACATATTGTATACCAGTTACAGTTTTAAGTGTTTCATGTAGATTGACTTATTAAATCGTAATATAGCATGGGTACGTACTATCTCAACACCATTACAGATGGGGAAACAGAGACACAGAAAGGAGAAATAACTTTCTTGGATGGAGCCAGAATCCAAACCTGGGTCTATCTGGCTCCAGAAAGTATGAGTCTGTACTATACTGTCTCAGTTCTTCTAATACTACTCAAAATCTGATCAAAATAGCACAAAACCAAGACAAGACCCTAAAAGTCAAGAGAATGCCAAGTAGAGGAATGAACACAGCATTGATGTTACCCCATTGCCACCTTCCCCATTTGCTATACCAGCCCCACCCGCAAGGGGAGACAGAGAGAGCTCTACCCTGGATCCAGGCTAACTCTTTTTCCTAGTAGAATCAAAACCAAAACACTCTATTCCTTCTCAAAATTAAACAAAACAGAACAGGCAGGGCACAAAGTGATGGGTGCTGTTTGGAACATTATATAAGGCACCTTCAATTTGAGGCAGTGTGTGAACCAGAGTTTGCAGGAGTTAGCTAAGCCTAGCTCCTAGCCTCAAAAGGTTGGGTAGGGAGGAGGTGGCAACAGTAGGGTGAAAAAGTGAGGTTGAAAAGAAAGAGGGAAATATTTTGGCTTCTCCCCAAGACTGCTGGGCTCTCTGCAGAAGGACGCCAGGCCCTGGTGCTTGGAGAGGCAAGTATTAGGAGAAGAGAGGATGGAGAGGGGGAAAGTGATTCTAGAGTTGTCTTCTTGCCTCTGGTTTTAGTAATTTTCTCACTTTCTGGTGTCATCAACAAAGCAGCCCCCAGGTGCCTAATAAATACTAGACAGGAAAACCAACAGCTTATTACCCAGCAGCAAGCAATAGTGAGAGGTGATACAGTGTAGTAACTAAGAGCTCAGCCTGGAGCCCACCAGCCCAATTTCTGAATTTTGGCTCTGCTACATATTCCCTTTGTCAACTCAGACAAGCCATCTGTAAAATGGAGATACTGAGAGAGTTGTTGTGAGGGTCCAGATGAATAAATGCACCAAAAGTACTTAGAACCATGCCGTATGCATAGTAATCACTCTATTAGTGCTTCCTGTTATCATTTTCCCTGAGGGCCTACTGGTTTCTAGGCACTGACGGAGGTATGGATGACAGAGGGAAGTATCAGACATAATTGTTGTCCTTGAATTTAGGTTAGTTGGGGAGACAGATGAGTAAAAGATTGGCAGTATGATAGAGCTATCTGCCTCTAGGGGCTGTAAGTCATCCCTTTTAAATCACCAAGAGCACCTACAGCCAAGTTCAGCACACAGTGGTAGTCAATAAATGCTTATAGAAGGATGGATGCAACTGCACACAAAATAAGCTGAGTATTTATAACCAGGAAAAGATACTGAGATTCTGAGACCCTGGAATTGGTGTTAGATTTGTCACAGATGTTTTAAATGTCTCTTAAACAAATTAATATATTTCTCCCTCTCTACCCATTTGTTTCTTCAGTTGTATTGTTTCTTTCTTCCCTTCTGGAGTTTTGGTGGAACTTCAGTATAATTCAGTATTTTCAGAGCCTTTGTAAGGAAGCAGAGAGCTTAGGACTTTTTTAATATGGGAACTGAATTCAGGATCTTGTGCTTATCAGGCAGGTGCTGTTGTGCTGCTGGGTTATCTCCCCGTGGGTGGGTTTGTTTTTTTGTTTTTATTTTATTATTATTTTTTTTTTTTGCACGTCAGAAAGACCTGGTTTCAAAAATTTAGCATTCTCATTTACTAATCCTGGTTTAATCCTGTGAAAGGTACTTTATAGTCATTAACACATCCCCTCCACCCTGCAAAGTGGCCATAAGGACCATCAGTTTTGGAATGAGGAAAGTGAGTGTCTGAAAGACTGAAGAAATTCCCCGAGACCACCTTTGCAGTTAAAGAATCAGAGCACCAAATGATTTGGCTCAAAAGCCTATGTTCTTGCTACCAACCCTTGGCCCCCAAAGAAGACAAACCTTAATGTCTATATGGGATTTCACAAGCCTTCATGCACAAGGGACAAAAGTTCTTGCATTTCTTTGGGGAAACAGGAAGGTGCCATTCTAATATTTATACAACATAAGGCCAGTTGGAATCAGCTTTTCGAAAGGGACCTTGACCCAAAAGAGATTATGCACTATTTCACTGGACCAGCATGTTGTAATGGGTAGGGATATAACTGTCTTATTCACTTGGGTATTCTTAGAACCTTGTATTGCTCCTGCTCCAGGAGGCACTCAGTAACAGTCTGTGGAATGAATTTACTCAGTGTAGCTTCAGGGTTGAAAGATATTACATTCTGTATTTGGTATTGTAGCTGGTAGAAAAATGTGGCTATAGTAATCAGGCATGAAAGAGCCAGTCACACAGGTGCCAAGGTTTGGAACAGATCCATTTCAGAGTCACAGTGAAACAAGATTCCCTGATGGGAATTTTCTCAAGGATTGGATCTAGACAACCAATAAAAGGGTTACAAGTGTACTTGCATACAATTTGCAAATGGTTTATGTCTAACTGTATTTCTGCTATTATTTTGTGATTTTTGAGGCAAAAATTTATTACTACTTTAATGGTTATTGCATAACTTATAAAAATAATAAAATTTATCTTCTCTGTCTTTGAAAAAAGAACAGGCATCACTGCATTTCACTCGCAAGGCTGTTCAGTGCAGGCCATTCATATCTTTATTACTGCCATATATGCATCTGATCAATCATGTTTAGGTTTACTATAAAACTTAAGAACTAAAATGTGAGGTACATCTGTCTATACTAACCAGTGTCACTGAAATTCCTATGATACCAACTTCTATGTCATCAACTCCAGGACCGTCCCATTCAAATGACACTTCTTTGAATTTCAATGATATAGAGGCCCTCCAAGTAGAAATCAATGTCATTTAGGACTCAAACCAGAAACAGTTTTCCCTGTGTCTCACAAACACAGTTAAGGTCCAGTGGCAGTCACTTTTCTTGAAAGCAGAGCAGGCTGGAGGAGAGCAGAATTGTGAATACCTATTTCTAACTCCCAGGTGGAAGTTTCGCTTTGTAAGCTGATCCTGAAGAGAATAGTACTTGAGGTCCTGCTTGAGCATTTATTGAGGGCCTGCGATATGTAAGATGGCAGATAAGCATCACAGTTTAATAAGAAGAGGGTTCAAATTTATCAGAACTTTTCTTGTCATTGCCTTAGAATATCATGTCCTGTATTAAAAAATGATAATATAATCAGGACCAAAAAAATACAAACACCATTAGTACAAAGCTGTATATTTTCCCTCTCAAATGATAATATAAAAGACTTTCTGCATATTTCAGTGAGCTTTTGCACATGCTGTTCCCTCTGCTTAAAATTCTCTTCTCCCTCTCCTGTCTGCCTGGTGAAATCCTACCCATCCTTTAATATACAGCTTAAATATCAACTTTTTGAACACCTTCTGGCATCTTCTGAGGGAATTCATCATTTTCTTCTATATTCTCATAAAGCTCTTTGCAAGGAACAACTATCTTTGCATTCTGTGGCAGTTATTTCTTTCTCATACTTTTTACTCTGAGCTCCATAAATCAGAGCACAGCTCTGATTCATCTTGATAGCCCCTGACACGATGCCTGTATATGGCAGTAGTCAGAAGAGGATGGCTGAAATTCTCTTGTTACTCTGAAAAAGAAATCTGTTAATATATTACAGAGAACTCTATAGCAACCTAACATGGCTCTGCATATAGTATGTGCTCAGTTAAGGTTTGTTAACTTTGTATCTAGTGAAAATGGTGCTTCTCTTAGGTTAAGGCTATAGATAGCAACACTTGCTAGCCTCTTTAGGGAGCCACTATAGCAGGCACCAGCTGTACACTCACTGATACTATTGTGATGTTCTAGGCACTGAATGGTACACTTGCCCCAAACCATTATCCCTCCTGGCTTACCAGAAGGTACACAATGTGCCATCAGAAGTCACTACTTGGGGTTAAAGAATTTGCTATGTAAGTGCCCTATTGGATTGCTTTCAGATGAAGGATAAGTATACCAGAAGCTACATGAAAAACTTCACACCTTTCAGAGGAATTGGAGTTATTTATTTATTTATTTAATTGTGGTGGGGGATCAAACCTAGAGCCTTGTGCATGCTAGGCAAGTGTTCTACCATTGAAGTACATACACAACCCCAACCCCAACCTGAAGATCATTCTTGCTTCCTCCTTCTATTTACAACCTATATTCTAGAGAACTGAAGAACTCAGAACATATGAAATACTCCTAAAAAGAGTCAAGATGACTCGATAAATTGTATTTTATAATCAGAGTGCACAGTCCTTATCAGTTTAGAAATACAGATTTGTTGTGAGGAACAACTCTAAACATTCAAAAAACTGAGTATTTATATCAAAGTAATAAAAATTCAAACTAGCTTTTAATCATAACCATTTGCAAAATCCTACTATATTTTCTCTGGGCATGGGGGAGTAAAACTCTTTTACTATTCTGAAAAAGATGCATAGAAAGAATTCATTTTGTAGTTTTGTAGTTCTTCTTTTGTGGGAAATATACCTACTTCGTATCCCTATGTTATACAATCACCAAACATTATTGTCTTATATGAGAAGCCCAAAGTATAAATACACAGCAAACTAAAAGGTAAATAATGGGAAACAGGGAGGCAGATCTTATGCAAATGGGAAGGGGACCAAGAAATGGAGGGAGGCAAGGGACATAAAAATAATTAAGACTTGCTATGTCCACATACCAGCTTCCCAAAATGAATGAAATCATTAGGCACATATGTACTAACAAAAATAAATAAATAAATAAATAAATAAAAATAAAGTCACCAAGAATTTTTTTCTTTTGCTAACAGGCACAAAATTGACAATTAACTGTATATTAGCCTGAGACCATTCAGATAAATATCAGAATCTCTATTCAAGAGTAATTGAGATACTCCTTTCCCTAATTTTCAAAAGCCAGGATGTTTTCTGACTTGTTGATGACTTAGAGAATTCTTGTTTACTGCTGGTGGTTTAATAAGTTAAGTAGGACAAAGCAAAAAGTCTGTGGAGTTTAGCTGAAACAAAGGCTAGCCTTGCTTCCAAATCACTGCTAGTGCTGTTTGAACAGTATTCAAGAGTCCAGAGATAAGCAGTTTCTCAGTGTAATCCCTTTCCACTGCAGTTAGCTTGTGGGGGCATGGGTAAGAGGAAGGACAATGCCAATACAAACGGAACTGCACAATGAAGGAAGGGAAGGAGGGCCGGAACAATGGGTGAAAAGTTAACTTTACTTAGACTCCCATATTAAAAGCAGATGTGTTTAAAATGTTAGATAAGAAAAACTGGTGTTACTGATAACATGAGCAAACCCTTTGTGCTTTCCTCCCAATACAATATCATTATAAGGTTCTAGAGGTGTCATTGTCTTTCACTCCACATGTAGCACATTCTCAACAAGTTGAATGTTTCTAATCTTGTAGGTATTGTTTCTAATTAGGTATTGTTTCTAATTAGGTAACTGTTTCTAATTAGGTAGGTATTGTTACATCCCTCAGTTGAAGGATTTTATGAATTGCCTTGTTCTGTCTCCCTTTGTGATAGCTTTTTTGGGTCTGGAAGTTAACATTTGGTAACATTTCTTCCTTTCTGGCACCTGTCAGCTGGATGAGCTCTGAGAAAAGGAGGATGGGGGATGGGGGGAATGCAATGTATCTTTACCCCAAATGTCCTGATAGTAGAGCTCTCTTTGTCTCTACATAGGGCATGCTCTGTTCTGGAAAGTGCTATTAAGTATATACTCAGAATAAACAATGGGCAGAGGGATGAATGGAATGATGAAGTTACCATGTTTTTAAAATTAATTTTATCATAAATTTTAAATTCCTCTGTATACTAACTAAATGTATAGCTTGGTTGAGGGGTTAGCCAGAGAAGAGAGCCCTTTAGCACAGCCCAAGGGTGACCCATCCTGCAAACTGGATGGTGCTTGGCTCTTTGAACTTCTCATCCAGTAGCTGTGCCAGAGCCTATCACAGGGTATAGCAATCCCACTGTGACTGTTCTCTCCTTACCACAGAGCAGGTTTTGAGGAACCATCAGGTACTTGACATCAGAATCAAAGACTAAGCACAAGGGCTTTTACCTCAATGCAGAAATAATAATCAGTTTTTGGAATTGAGAGCTTTTCCTTTAGAATGGTTTAAAGGTATTTCCTCACCAACAGCTTTCTTGATGTCATTTCATGGTTATTCTATGACGTCTTTGTGAGGTTGCTGACTGGCAAATGCTTTTCATGTGTAGACAGGGAAATCCAGAATTAAGGATGATTTATATTTCTATGCCATGGAACTTGTGCATGATTGATTATATGCAGGGCCTGACCTCTCACCACAAAATTAGGTGGTTTCTGTCCAGTAATGAGAAAAGACAACTGAAGAAATGCAGTATACAACAGAAATGGGTGAGTGACAGGGCCACCTGACATCGCCTAGTACATTACAGTTTATAAATCGCTCTGAGTTGCCCTTTCATGGGAGGGCAGCATTCACTCCTATTTTATCAAAGCAACTGGACAGCAGAAACAAGAGACAGAGTGTTGGCACCTTCACCAAGGCCCCAGATTTCACACGCTGGGGGTGGGGCAGTGTGCGGGTAAGCGCTTTGCCTTCCAGGAATAGTAGTGGTCTGAGACTACTGTAGACTGCCTGGAATGGAGATTAAGCCCAGGGTTCTCTTTGCATTCCACTTAGTAGTTTGCTCATGCTTTCACTACAGACCAGGCTCAAGAATTCCTCTGCCAGCTGAGAAGCTGAATGTTGCTTTGGCTGTAAGACAGTATCTTATTTATTTCCATAAACCTCCCCGTTTTGTCTCCGATTATTTTCACCCAAAAATGGAAAGGGAGGCAAATTATGTGGGTACTGGACTGCAGTTATCCCTGGCAGTCTTTGAGACTGCCACCAGCATGGACTAAAGAAGAGAGATACACTCAGAGTAACACATAGCACCTCTTGCTTTCAGAAAAGGAGTTCCTCAAAAGTGATGCCGAGGAAGAAAACAAAACAACTGGAGTTTTGGGGCTCAACTGGAGGAGGGAATGCTAAAAGCAAAAGATTGCTTTAAATAAGGCTAGATTTTGAAGGAGGGGAAGGGCATGGCTCTGTGAGTGACAAAAACATGGTTTGTGCATTTCAGATTGCCTTCCAGTTTCCAGTCTGAAGTTTGAGCACCAGGCAAGTCAGCATCCAGGGAAGCCTTGACTGAGGAAGTCAGGCTATCTCAGCTCTGCTGGCTCACTACCCAAAAGTTCCTAGGAGCTCTGAGCCCTGAGCATTGTGCAGCTTAGCATCTTTGGCCAGAGAGATGGGAGACCCAATTTGGGAAGGAATAGAAGTGTGGGGCAGCTGGTACAAATGCTGCCCAGCCCTCCCTGCATTCTAGCCAGCTATATAGACAGCTGTCCTTTTAATTTAATCCTTAGTCTGTCCCCCAAATGGCCAAGCTCCTTTTGCATATAAAAGTCTTTGTGGTTGTTGGGAAGCATAGGAAAAATGTAGAGGTAAGAGAGGTTATGTGGGGAGAACTTGACAAAGCAGCCTATTCTTCCTCAGAACGTGAACGCAAGGGAGAAGGCACAGGAACGCTCTGTACAGAGGGAGGAAACACTGTACTGAAAGGCAGTCTGGAGGAGGAGAGGACAGGCTGCACCAGCTTTTAGGACCATTTTGCTTATACTTTTATTTGTAGTCTCAAGGCTAACTGTGTAAATGAGGATTCTGATTCGGGAATGCCCATTTGTAGATACACGTGGCTTTGTTTTTTCTGTTTCAAGAGTTGACTCAGTAATACTTCCAATATCTTTGATAAATTAGAGAGGAGGTTAATTACTTACCAACCCAGACACTAAGCTGTTTTTTGTTGCTAGTGGGCTGAGAATCTGTAGCTGTTCAGGCTCGAGGTGACTTTAAAGTGTGTTTTAGTTAAACCCTGAAGAGAACTGTAGAGGAATTTCAGCCTGGGTCACATGAATTAGCAGATGATGCCACTGGAAAGAAACTATGTCTCACTTATACTAACCCTGTAGTTTTTGCTCACCCTCCCACCCTGCACTTTCAGAGACCCCAAGTGTACCCACTGTGCCAAAGTCTGTGCCAAAGTCTGTTTGTTTTTCTTTTGGCTCTTTCAACTGCTATCACATAACAATGTTGGCAGGCTCACACCCTTAGTCATGATAGGGTGTGCTTATTCTTATGCTTCTTGACCTTGCTGGGAAAGAATTGTGCTGCTGTCTACAGCCTGCCCTTGTCTCCCATGGGCAGGATGGCAAAACCTGGTAGAACTGCACTCCACCAGCAACATTCCTGTAAAAGGAGGTGGCTGGTTAAGAGTCTTGGTCTTTTTCTTTCCTTTTTATTATTTACATTTATCTATCTATCTATCTATCTATCTATTTTGTATTTTTGAGACCGGGTCTCACTATGCAGTTCAGGCTGGCCTTGAGCTCACTTTGTAGCCCAGGCTGGTCTCCAATTGGAAATGATACTCTTGCCTCAGGCTCCTAAATCCTGGGATTATAGGTGTGTGCCACCACACCTGGCTTCCTTCTTTTCTTAAAAAACTAATTAATTAAATCTATCAAAGATTTGTCTAAGGGCTAAGGCTCATTGGTAGAGTGTTTGTGTATTATGTGTGAGGTTCTGGATTCAATTCCTGGCATCCCTCCAATAGCACATATTTACGTTTTACAAAATGATATTTTCATGTATATATGTACATACACATGTATTTAAGGACAAATCCTTTAGGCTGGGAGAGAGTAGAGAGATGTTGGTCAAAGGGCAGTCAGTTTTAGTGGGACATGAAGAGTAAGTTCTGGAGATCTACTGTACTGCACAGTGACTATAGTTAATTTATTGTCTATTTACAAATTGCTAAGAGACCAGTTTTTTCTTTTATATTTGATTATCCATATTTTTAAATTTAATTTTAAAAAACAAAAAGGAATAAAATCAATACAGAATTTCAAAACAAAATATTATGAAATTAACACATTGCATATTGTTATTTTCATAGTTGTCCAGATTATAAGATTTAGGCATGAAAAAATGATCAAACAAACAATGAAAGCACAAACTGTTCTTTTCGATGAACTAAGAGAGATTAGTAGTATAAATGTTCTCATTGCAAGAGTCTTTATCTTTTGTCTAGGTTCCAATCTGAAAGTCTCTGAAGGAGAGCGATTGTTTCCATTTTTCATTTAAAAATATAATGTAATTGTTACAAAATGCTTCATATAGTATTTTTTTATAAATTGTATGGAATTTCTATATGTGTACATTATGGAGCCTAATAACTTAGTGAACCTGCCACTGCTTTTTAGAGCTGAACATGAATGGTAGACACCATTGATGCTTCCCACCTGCCTCCCTATTACCACTGTGGCTTTCTCCCCAGAGGTAACCACTGGGAGGCACTGGAAAAAATTACTCCCTTCCATTTACTTATAGTCTTCTCACATATATGATGTGTTAGTCATCTTTCTGTACTGTGACAAAATACCTGATGTAAACAAAACAGAAAAGTTTTATTTATTTTGGTTCATGTTTTCATAAATTTCCACCCATACTCAGCTGGTTCTATTGTTTTCAGGCCTGAGGAGAGGCAGAAACATCATGGCACAGGAAAGCTGTTCCCCTCATGCCATGCAGAAAACAGAGGAAAAGCACCAGAGAAGACAGGGCCAGGAACTGATACAATTTTCAAGGTCATATTCCTATGATCCACTTCTTTCAAATATGCCCTTCATTCACCTGACAAGAGTGTCATCAAATTATGACTGGATAATACTGTACCCTGGTGAAATTATGATCTTATCACCTTCTAAAGTTCATCATCTAACAACCAAGCCCCAGCATCTGACCTTTGGGGGACATTCCAGATCCAAGACTCAACATATGAGTATTCCTAGATAATATACTATTAAGAAATGCTTGTTTCAAACTAACAATGCTTGTTACAACTACTAACCAAAAAAGTACAAAAGCTTTTTGTACTTTTTTTTGAGATAGGATCTCGCTGCTACATAGTTTAGGTTGGCCTTGAACTCACTGTGTAGCCTAGGCTGGCCTTCAACTTGCAGTGATCCTCCCAGCTCATCCTCCCTTAGTGCTGGGATTGACAGGCATGTGCTACCACACCTGGCTTGCACTTTTTAAAATTTGTTTTTACACATCATTTATTAATGAGCTCACTCTTCCTCCCTTCCTGGATCTGCAGTCATACATCCAATTTCCAAATAAATATAGCTCTATTTTGGGGTTCTCGGTTCTATTCCATTAGGCTATTTGTCTACTCCTGTACAAATATTATAGTGTTACCTAATATAGGTATATGCTAAATCTTAATACTTGATAGAGTAAGTCATTTCTTTTTCTTAAAGAATGCCTTGCTTTTCTTTGTACTCTCAACATCAAATTTATCTATAAATTCATTAGTGGATTAATCCACTGATAAGTTTCACATCCCCATGACCTAATCACCTCCCCAAAGCCCCACCTATAAGCACAAGGCTTTGTGAGGGGACATCTAGAACATATTTATTCCTAGATACCTTCTATTTTTAGCATGTTTTTAGTATTTATAGTATTTTTTGAGACCATGTCTCTCCATGTTGCCCAAGTTGACCTTGAAATCCTGGCTCAAGTGATCCTCTGTGCTTCAGTCTCCTGAATTTCTGGGACAACCGGCATGTGCCACCATGCTTGGCTACTACAGTATTTTTACTCTATTTTTGTCTAGTAATCATTTTAGGTAATTTTAATTTTATTGACAAAATAGCTATTTTGACATTATTGGCTGCTTTAATATTTTTAAAATTGCATTTTTTTGATCTTTTGGGGACACTATGCAGTTCAGGCTGACTTTGAACTCACTTTGTAATCCTGGCTGGCCTTAAACTCACAGCAAACTTCCTGCCTCAGCCTTTCAGTGCTGGGATTAAACGTATGTGCTCCCATGCCTGGCTAAATAGCATTTTTATTCTTGTTTATGCTTTCTAAAAATTAGACTTATCTCCTTACATTCTCTCCTAACTGTATATCGATCAGGCCTTTCTACCTAGTTATGTCAAAATTCCTCTTGGCAAGGCTGCCCATTATTGCTACATTCAATGGTTACTTCTCAGTTAGTTCTTATTTGAATTTGCAGCTGCATTTGACACAAAGATACTTCACTTGGCTTCAGGGGCAGTACACTCTTGATTTTCCTTTGGCATTACTAGTGATTCTCTCCTTTTTTGCTAGTTCTTTACCCAACATTTTAAAGCTGGATTATTGCAAGGATCAGCTCCTAGACATCTCTTCCTTCTCTGGCTAGCCACAGTTCCTTGGAGATCTCATCCATCTCACAGTTTGAAAATTCACCCATATGGTAATTCCCAGTTTTGTAACAATGGTCCAGCTTACTGTCAGGATCTAACTAGGTAGCTGTATTTTCCCCTTCTACCAACTTGACATCTCCAACTCAGCATGTCCTACTGTACTTAAAAACTGTTTCCCACAGTTTTCTCAGTTCCTTACGCCATCATTCCAGTTACAATGGAATCTCGGAGACTTTGCATTACCTCAGCTCACACACAGTATGTCAGAAAATCCTCCTCATGTCTACCTTCAAAATATATACAGATTCCTAACACAATCTACACTGATACTGTCCCCATTCAAGACACCATCATTTAAAAAAAAAAAAAGGTTTGAGATATAGCTTACGTACTACAAAATTTACCCATTTTTAGTGTACAATTCAATCTTTTAGTATTATCCACAGTTGGGAAACCATTACCACACTTTGAGAAGATTTTGGTCTCTTCTAAAAGAAACCACTACTCATTAGCTGTCACTCCATTGTTCTACTAAACCACTAACCTACATTCTGTTGCTATAGATTTGCTTATTCTGGACATTTAGTATGTGTGGAATCATACAATATGTGATCTTTAGGTACTCTATTTCTTTTTACTACCAAATAAAATTCCATTGTATAGGTATAGAATACTATACATTATTGATATTCTGATCAGTTGATGACATTTGAGTTATCTCCACATTTTAACTAATATGAATAGGGCTGCTATGAATATCTGTGTACAAGTTTTTGTGTAGATGTACCTTTCTTTTGCTCCTTCTTTCTTTTTTTCAATCTTTTTCAATCTTTTTTTGAGGCAAGGTCTCATTGTATAGTCAGACTGTACTTGAATTCACTTTGTAACCCAGGCTGGCCTCAAATTCACAGTGAGCCTCCTGAGTGCTGGGATTAAGACATGTACCACCATGTCCAGCTGACATACCTTTTCAATGCATATATATCTAGGAATAGAATTTCTGGGTCAGAGGGTAGCTCTGTGTTCAAGTTGTTGAAGAACTGCCACACTGCTTTCCATAGCAGCTGTTCTTTTATGTTCCTGTTGACAATATATGCAGATTCTGTTTCTCTGCATTTTGGCTACTACTTATTATTATCCTTTTGATTGTAGTCATCCTGGTGTAAAGTGGTATTTCACTGTGGTTTAGATTTGGGTTTCTCTAGTGAGTAATGACATTAATATCTTTTCATGTCCTTGCTGGCCATTTGCATATTTTCTTTGGAAAAATGTCTACTCGGACTCTTTGCCCCGTTTGAGTTAGTTTTCTTTTATTATCAAATAGTAAGTAACACTACATATTCTAGAAAGAAATTTAATATCAGATATATTACTTGCAAATATTTCTTCCCAGTTTATTGGCTGTCTTTCCACTTACTTGAAGATCCTGCTTTCATCACAAAAATTTTAAATTTTGATAAAGTTCAATTCATCTATTTTTCTTTTACTGCGTTTTTAGTGTTATACCTAAAAGCATAGCCCAATATAAAGTCACGAGAATTTATACTTATGTTTTTGTCTAAGAGTTTTATAGATTCAGTCTTTACATTTAGGTTTTTGATGCTTTTTATTTTAGTTATGTGAAGTAGAGGTCCAGTTTGATTTTTTTTCCATATGGGTTACCAATTATTGCCACACCATTTTTATGAGACTATTCTTTTTTCACTGAAATGTCTTTGAACCCTTGTTCAAAACCACTGGACCATAAATATAAATGTTGGGCTGGGAATTTAGCTCAGCGGCATAAGCACCTGCCTTGCAAGCGTGTGATGGTGAGTTCGATCCCTGGTACTGGTAAAAACACAAAAAATACAAAAAAATTAAATATGAACGTTTATTTCTGGATTATTAATTCTATTTTATTAGTCTACAGGTCTATGTTCATGGCACTATCATGCTGTTTTGGTTACTACAGCAATGTAGTAAGATTTTAGATCTGTAAATAATAATGGCCTGATAAAATTATTAGGACATATTCTCTCTATTTGTTGGAAGAATCTGGAAAGATTTTGATTCTTTGTTAAATGTTCAGTAGACTTCACCAGGGAAGTCATATGGTCTTGCACTTTGGTGGCAGTTTTCTTTCTCTCTCTCTCTCTCTCTCTCTCTCTCTCTCTCTCTCTCTCTCTCTCTCTTTCTTTCTTGTACTGGCGGTTGAACTCATGACCTTGCACTTGCCAGGCAGGTACTTACTCCACTGAGCTAAATCCTCAGCCTGGGAGTTTTCTTGATAAGTAATCCAGTCTGATTGTTATAGGTCTATTCAGATTTTCTATTTCTTCTGGAGTCTTAATATTTTGTGTTTTTCCAGAGACTCTTCTATCTCTTTTAGGTTGTATAACATGTTCATATCATTTGAAACAATTTTTCATAGCTTTCTCTATTAATTTCTTATTTCTCTAAAATTAGTAGCAATATCTCCATTTTCATTTCTTATTTTAGTAATTTTTTTGGTTTTACTTTTTTGAGACATGGCCTAGCTATGTAGTTCAGGCTGGCTTTGAGCTCACCATGCAGCCCAGGCTGACTTTGAACTTGAGTGATCCTCCTGCCTCCATCTCCTGAGTGCTGGGATCACAGGTATATGCCGCCACATCCAGCTTATTTTAGTGATTTGAGTCATCTGTCTTTTTTCCTTTGTTAATTTACCTAAATATTTGCTAATTTTCTTGACCTGTCAAGGAGTTGTTGATTATAATGATTTTTTCTTTTTTTATTTCATTTATTTCTGCTGTAATCATTTTTCCCCCTCCAATGCTGAGGATCAAATCCAGGATTGCATGCATGCTAGACAAGCACTCTACCACAGAGCTACATCCCCAGGTCTTTGTTCTTATCTTTGTTATAGCCTTTATTCTGCTCATGTTTAGTTTGCTCTTAATTTTTAAAAAAATCCACTCTGATGATATCTACCTTTTGATTTTACTGTTCACTTCTATTCACATTTAACATTATTATTTATGCACTGCCAGGTTGCTCTTTGTTTTCTATATGTCACATACCTTTTTATTTTTTTCAGTACTGGGGACTGAAATTCAGGCCATATGCATATTAGGCAAGCACTTTACCACTGAGCTATACTTACTTTTTAGTATCATCTTTTATACTAGGTGGTTATTCTCTCATGTAATAATTTAATTCTTTTCATAGTTGAAAAATTATTGTTGTTTTTAAAAAATATTTTTTATTTTAAAGAGCAAAAAACACAGAAAAGAAAAATGAAAACAAAAGAGAAAAGAACTATAAGAATAACAAAAAAACCAAAAACAATAACAATATAGCCTTTCAAAACAAGATGATAGGAATTTAACAATGGTTGTTATATTGCATATATAAATTCATATATATATATATACACATAAGATAGCTAAGATGAATATATTACTAATTCTATTAGTTCTTGGAAAAGAACATTTAATACTTATGCAGTTTGATCATTTTTGCTTGTCTATATCTGGTAATTATGAAAAATTATTTTTTGAATAATTTTGTTAGTGGCTTCTCTGGGACTTGCAATATACATCTTAACTTATTAGAATAAACCTGCTTTGTATTCACTTAGTTGCAGTGAAATACAGGCAGTTTCATATATCTTCACTGCTTCCATCTCTTTCTGATACTACTACTATGCATATGTACACACATATATCTATATACATTATGTACCTAAAATACATCATTATACTTATTACTTTACATAATTTGGTTCTGATAAAAGAGTGAATATATATTTTAGTGTGTATATACTAATATTCTTATTTATTCTTCTCAATTTCATTTATTTCTGTGGATTTCAGCTACCATCTGGTGTTATTTCCTTAATCTACTGTAGTAGAGTTCTGCTTTCAACCTCTTACTTTGTACTATTAATTATATTTATTTTTTATAGTCCTAACAATACAATCATATTCATAT